ACTTGTGGTTAGACATTACTCTCATCTTGTGTTATGTTACCACATAACTGGCATGGTTATATCCAGTTGATCCATGAACTTGTGGTTAGACATTACTCTCATCTTGTGTTATGTTACCACATAACTGGCATGGTTATATCCAGTTGATCCATGAACTTGTGGTTAGACATTACTCTCATCTTGTGTTATGTTACCACATAACTGGCATGGTTATATATCCAGTTGATCATTGAACTTGTGGTTAGACATTATTCTCATATTGTGTTATGTTACCACATAACTGGCATGGTTATATATCCAGTTGATCCATGAACTTGTGGTTAGACATTACTCTCATCTTGTGTTATGTTACCACATAACTGGCATGGTTATATCCAGTTGATCCATGAACTTGTGGTTAGACATTACTCTCTTCTTGTGTTATGTTACCACATAACTGGCATGGTTATATATCCAGTTGATCCATGAACTTGTGGTTAGACATTACTCTGTAAAGTTATTTGTTAACATTCTCAAGTAGGTAAATAAAAGCGATTTCATACCTTACGGTATTTTTATTTTATAACCACCAGTAATATAACATGAACAATGAAAAATTTAATTCACAACTGCAAATACAGTACAATATTTACACCTGTGACTGACTGATAAAAGATATTTTGATATTTCTAATCCAAACTCTCTCTATATCCAATAATTCCAAACGATATAGGACCGGTTAACAGTGATCTGGTTTGTTCAGATCATCAAACTTTGGTGAAATCGATGATTTTTAACTACTTTCTGACTCGAGCCGAACGAACAAAACATTTTTTTTCAAAGTTCTGCTCGAAAGACTCAAGTCAGGTAGCAGATGACTATTCTGTTGTTTAGATGTTAACAGCATGTCGGCTTTACTGTGAACTCTCCCGTTGTTTACTGTGTGTTTGTCTGGCTTCTTCTAATGTTGATATGACCTTTTCATTGTTTACTGCCCGTCTGTGTCACTTGTGTGCTAGCACGTCTGGTCAACTGTGACATTTTCCATTGTTTACTGCCTGTCTGTGTCACTTGTGTGCTAACACGTCTGGTCAACTGTGACCTTTTCCATTGTTTACTGCCCGTCTGTGTCACTTATGTGCTAACACGTCTGGTCAACTGTGACCTTTTCCATTGTTCACTGCCTGTCTGTTTCACTTGTGTGTTAGCACGTCTGGTCAACTGGGACATTTTCCATTGTTCACCGCCCGTCTGTGTCAATTGTGTGCTAACACATCTGGTCAACTGTGACCTTTTCCATTGTTTACTGCCTGTCTGTTTCACTTGTGTGCTAGCACGTCTGGTCAACTGGGACATTTTCCATTGTTTACTGCCCGTCTGTTCACAGTTGACCAGACGTGTTAGCACATAAGTGACGCAGACGGGCAGTAAACAATGGAAAAGGTCACAGTTGACCAGACGTGTTAGCACATAAGTGACCATTTTCCACTGTTCACTGCCCGTCTGTGTCACTTGTGCTAACACGTCTGGTCAACTGTGACCTTTTCCACTGTTTACTGCCCATCTGTATCACTTGTGTGCTAACACGTCTGGTCAACTGTGACATTTTCCATTGTTTACTGCCCGTCTGTGTCATTTATGTGCTAGCACGTCTGGTCAACTGTGACATTTTCCATTATTTACTGCCCGTCTGTGTCATTTATGTGCTAACACGTCTGGTCAACTATGACCTTTTCCATTGTTTACTGCCCGTCTGCGTCACTTATGTGCTAACACGTCTGGTCAACTGTGACCTTTTCCATTGTTTACTGCCCGTCTGTGTCACTTGTGTGCTAACACGTCTGGTCAACTGTGACATTTTCCATTGTTTACTGCCCGTCTGTGTCACTTGTGTGCTAACACGTCTGGTCAACTGGGACATTTTCCATTGTTTACTGCCTGTCTGCTTCACTTGTGTGCCAGCACGTCTGGTCAACTGTGACATTTTCCATTGTTTACTGCCCGTCTATGTCACTTGTGTGCTAGCACGTCTGGTCAACTGGGACATTTTCCATTGTTTACTGCCCGTCTGTGTCATTTATGTGCTAGCACGTCTGGTCAACTATGACCTTTCCATTGTTTACTGCCCGTCTGTGTCACTTGTGTGCTAACACGTCTGGTCAACTATGACCTTTCCATTGTTTACTGCCCGTCTGTGTCACTTGGAATGCTGCTGGAACATGTTCAATTTTGAGTTCTGCCCAGTTGAGTAATTACTTCTGTTGATATTGGGTTTGTCTGCCTTTTGGATAAAAACATAACAGACTAACAAAGGTACCCTGCAATTCCGGGCTTAATAAGTAATCAGTGTTATAAATTGGGGCGTGGGCTACCCCTTTCCACTATTTTGAGCCGTAACACAACCTTCAGACCGATGCAGAGGTACCCGTGATACGCGCAGCATTAAATATCACTTTTGTTTGGACTCGGCTACACGTATTTGCTACCGCCCTTCTCAGCCCTAATTCATAGCATTAAGGCAATAAGATTGAAATGGCTCCCTTTCTTCCCAGACAAAAAAAAACTCCATGTGTAAATTTTAAAACAAATCACCTTTCTTGACGTCCGGTATTGTTTAAAAATACTTACCGCCCCAGTCGCTGACTGCTGTTCACAACGTGAAATTGACGCACACAGGAAAATTACTTACACCTGCCTTGTGTGAAGTTTACTGACGAAATCTGAAGAGTTCACAACTCGTTCCCAGTCGGAATATCTCTTCTGTTACTTCGAGTCCTAAAGCACTGTGTAATGTACATACGTTTTATGTTTTACTTCATAATACGGAATTCGTGTAACTAAGACAAAACAAAACTGAATTCATTTTATGAGCTAAATACGTAAATATTACGTTCAAGTAAAAGGCTTGCTTCATAAAACGACTTTCAAACAAATACATCGCAGGCTTAGTTCAAACACGTTTCAATCGGTAAATACTAAAACATTTCATAATGTGACAAATGTGATATCCAAATATGGTATACTTTTTTTAGTTCACAGCTAGTCCACCTCCGAGGGTTAATACGAAACACTATTAAAAAAGCGAGATTGGTGTGATTAGGGATTATAGGCCAGGCTGAATATTGTCCACCAATAAGAAGCAAGCTCAGGTGGTAACCATGATCAAACACGGGAACTTTGTAATAAGATGGGTTACTTCAACGCCATCTAGTGCCTATTTATTCATTCGTGATATGTTAATTTTCAAAACTTGGTTCTCGTAGTCAGTGTACACGAAT